TATCATTATCATCGCTCTCCCCGACTTCAACTTTGTGTACACTGTCATCTTCCTCCATTCTGGGTTCACCGTTGACTTGTAATTCAGGAACTTCGTCGTAGCAGGCTGGGGCACTTTCCGTTCGCAAAAGCATCCTGATGCAGGTACTTGGAGAGGTGTCATTCTCCTGATTTGTCTCCTCTTTTAATACATGTAATTTATTCATGGCATATGAATGAGCATTTGAACTTCTTCTTGATACACTTGATTGGCAGTTAGAACTTTCTTCGGTGATGGTTGATGCAAGCGCGAGAGGTCGCTGCATAATGATTATTTGTCTCTTTCGACGCATTTGTCTTGAATTGTACTGAAGCACGTAGCTTTGATGCAATCCATTACTATGAGTGCTATTGGTACACATAGATTTAAATGACGTTTTTCTAGTGTTTAACACCCTGCCTCCAGACCGCCTGGAATTAACACGCTCCCTCAAGGCAGCCATACTGCGCGACCAGCTGACCTGCGACCATCGGGTACTTTGGCTAGTGCTAGTGCTACGGCTGATTGAGGGTCGCATTCTATTGGGAAGGTAGTGGTTAGACTGAAAAATACAACGAAGAGAACAATCATAAGGATATATTTGAAGAAAGCTGGATAAACGCTTATGAAATATGGACAGGCGAAAGTAAAACTAAAATAATTACAAGTGATTAAGGATGTATGCAAGATAAAAGCACGTTATCTACATTCATTCATCTTAATATGCAGAGAGAGAAAACGAATAGAGAAGAGACACATGTGGACCTAACTAGGCTTCTCATGCAGTAACCTGTTTGACCATGAAACTAAACTGGTAGCATTTCTACACTCACCGGTGGTCCACGTGATACTCCACACTGGAATGCTGTTTTGAAATGCTTTCGGAAACTTTTATGCAGAAATGAGTACACGATTGGATTAAACGCACTGTTGGCATGTCCGAGTAAGGATGCAAACGGCATTATTGAGATGACAATTTTAACGTCGGAATCACTTGGTTTTCCAATATGGAAATCTCTCCACACCGTCAGCACATTGTATGGAAGCCAACATATGACAAATAGAAAGGCCACAACAAGCAACATCCGGGCGATTTTTCGTCTTCCTTTGAGCACAGACGTGACGTAATTTCGCTGATTTCTGCATTTTTGGTTATAGGGTAAGCTGGTTGCCGATCGAGTGAGTCTCTTCTCTTCAGTACACAGACGTCGGCCAATCAGGGTATATGCAGTAAATATTAAACCAGCAGGAAGGACGTACATAAACATCAGGAGTACCATACTATATGCCATGCGTGATATCTCACCGTTAGGCCATACTTCTGTACACGTAAATACATCAACAGTGAACACTTGGTGGCGCAGCACCTCTTTTACATAGAGTATCGGTGACGTAATCACAAGCGCAAGGATCCAAATGACAACAATGACTTTACGAATGAGATTAACTTTGGATATTCGGCGTGCCCTCATTGGATGTTTTATCGCGAGGTAGCGTTCAATACTCATGGCAGTTAGTGTGAGTATGCTGACAGTTACTGAAATGCCTGAAACAAAGAAAGAACAGAGCGTTAATTTAACAAATCATTTACTATTAGTTTGAAATCCTTTTTCCATTGAAGTTGTGTCAAACCTCATTAAGAAATGTATGTGACAAACCTAGAGAAATGTTTGATGACAATGCCCATACCTCATAGATGTCAATATAAATCATGCCCACACGTCATATATGTCAATATAAATCATGCCCACACGTCATAGATGTCAATGTAAATCGTGCCCATACGTCATAAATGTCAATGTAAATCATGCCCATACGTCATAGATGTCAATGTAAATCGTGCCCATACGTCATAAATGTCAATATAAATCATGCCCACACGTCATAGATGTCAATATAAATCATGCCCACACGTCATAGATGTCAATATAAATCATGCCCACACGTCATAGATGTCAATGTAAATCGTGCCCATACGTCATAAATGTCAATGTAAATCATGCCCATACGTCATAGATGTCAATGTAAATCGTGCCCATACGTCATAAATGTCAATATAAATCATGCCCACACGTCATAGATGTCAATATAAATCATGCCCACACGTCATAGATGTCAATGTAAATCGTACCCATACGTCATAGATGTCAATATAAATCGTACCCATACGTCATATATGTCAATGTAAATCATATCCATACGTCATAGATGTCAATGTAAATCGTACTCATACGTCATTCATGTAAATCGTGCCCATACGTCATAGATGTCAATGTAAATTGTGCCCATACGTCATAGATGTCAATGTAAATCGTACTCATACGTCATTCATGTAAACCGTGCCCATACGTCATAGATGTCAATGTAAATTGTGCCCATACGTCATAGATGTCAATGTAAATTGTGCCCATACGTCATAGATGTCAATATAAATCGTACCCATACGTCATAGATGTCAATGTAAATCGTGCCCATACGCCATAGATATCAATGTAAATCGTGCCCATACGTCATGGATGTCACGTGAATCGTATCCATACGTCATAGATGTCAATGTAAATCGTACCATACGTCATAGATATCAATGTAAATCATGCCCACACGTCATAGATGTCAATGTAAATCGTACCCAGACGTCATAGATGTCAATGTAAATCGTACCCATACGTCATAGATGTCAATGTAAATCGTACCCATACGTCATAGATATCAATGTAAATCGTGCCCATACGTCATGGATGTCACGTAAATCTTATCCATACGTCATAGATATCAATGTAAATCGTGCCCATACGTCATGGATGTCAATGTAAATCGTGCCCATACGTCATGGATGTCAATGTAAATCGTACAGAAAAGAAAATCTTTATTTAGAGTGGAATTAGAAAAGGTACATACATATGTAAACGGCATGTATTTGAAAGGTATTGTCTATTTTTTTCCCTATTTAACGCATTTATAATTTTTATTTGCATTTAAACATATTTTGTTTCACAATTTAAATCGATATCAAAGTTAATCAAAGAAAGCTTAGAAAGAACTCCCGTGTGCTGGGAGTATTGGAGACACATTAAAAATTAATTCAAGAATTACTTGAACTTGAGATGTTGATGGAAACGCAGAAAACTAATTATGTAAATAAGGTAACTAATATGAACAGATTTAAGTGTAAAACTAATAAGGTCTGCACAATGTACCAAGTTTCATTGAAATGTAATTAGAACCAAACAAATATTAATTATTATGCTAATGAGGTGATTAATATGCACAAATATTTACCCAAAAACCAATTAGGTCTCTGCACAGTCCTCAAGTAACTATGTACCAAGTTTCATTGAAATGTGATCATTACTACTCAAAATATCAAAAGCTGAAAATTAATTAGTTTTGCAAATTAGGTAATTAATATGTAATGATATTACCCTAAACACTATCAGGTCTGTGCAGTGTCATATGACATCTATGTACCAAGTTTTATTGAAATGTTATGATTAGTACTTGAGATATCAGTGGAAAAGCCGAAAATTGATTAATCATTACGTAAATTAGGTAATTAATAATATTAACAGATTTTTACCCAAAACTAATAAAATCTGCGCATTAGTTCAGAGCATACATGTGCCAAGTTTCATTGAAATTTGATTAGTGGTTCTTGAGATAACGGTGGAACAAAAAAAGTGACATACATACATACATACATACATACATACATACATACAGACATACATACATACAGACACACAGACAGACAGGGTAACTACAAAGACTCCTTTTTGTGCTTCGCACACGGGAGTCAAAAAGGATAAATGAGAATGAAAATTACAAATACAAATGCAATTTGTACATTTCACTTTTACTTTTGAAATATA